AAATAAATAAATAAACAAATAAATAAATAAACAAATAAATAAATAAACAAACACAAACTTCCAGGATCAAGTCCCTTAAGTGGTGGACAGCGAACAGTAATACTGCTATTAGCTGGTACTGCTGGCCAGCAGAGTACTGTATCGAAAGTTGCATTACACCATAATGAACCATCACCTATTAGCATAAAATTATGATCATTATTGAAATATTTAATAAATCAGAATACTAGCTACAATGATTAATTCATTTCATTTGATTAATAGTATATTAAACAAATTAGTAATATATAATTTAAATAAGATCAAAATTGCTTCAAATTCTTACTTCTGTCCGGAAATGTTGGTAAAGAGCTTTGTTCAAGCACTTTTATGCACTGATCCATTGTTTCAGCCCGATTATACTCAAGACCATCGATCTGAACCAATTTATTAACATTATATGCCCACGATGTTGATGGTTGCATCGTTGCAACCCTCGACAAATTCTCCATAATCATTCCACGAATCCTGTAAAATGAGTTCATTCATTGTTTTAAAAATTATTTCAGTGCAAAAATTTGTTTGAGTTGAAGAGTTAAATTAAGTCTAACATATTTCCGAATGCAAATCCAAAAGTGAATTATAAATTAGAAAGGAGTATTTGTCAGTTTTTTTATATTTGTTCTAAAATTTGGTTAACTTCTGAAAAGATTACATCATATATCAAGCCATTTCATAATTAATGTAAAAAGCTTTTAACATTTGCAATTACTTTCTAACAATTTAACACATTTGTATGCACATTTTCAGAATTCCAGAAACTGTCATAAGACATTATAATAACTTATGTTAATTATATCATTAAATGGTTTTATCGTTCACTTTGTTTAAATATAAAATTTCATATTTTCAATCAATTTAATTTACTTTACGTAAGTTATATTAATTGTATTTTTGAAATGTTTGCCGACTAGATGTGAGACATTTGCTAAACAAAATTTGAATCCGCAAAAACTAATGAAATTGGCGATATTTCTTCCACTCATTCAATGAGTGTGTTTGATGAGAATTAGCTATTGCTAAAATCATGATTTATTCATTGGAATACTGGTCAGAAGTAAAAGTTATCAATCTGTTTTAAATTTAATCGATCATATTCAGTGGAATAATGATAACTGAGCGTAAATCACTGAGATTACTGAGTTGTAGGGCGTTAGCAGAGAAATTTAATTTTAAAATACATTCGTTTTAAGATAAGTCAACAAATTTTTGTTATGTCATATTTAAGTATAAATTCTATAACTCTGAAGCTCTATTTTTTTTTCAATAAAAATACATCTGTTAATATTTCTATTATCCAAAGATCAAATTATCAGTTTTAATCAAACACATTCATCTATAAATAATGTAAGTTTTTGTCACTGTTAAATTGAACAAATCAACAAGGGAAAAAAAGAAATATTTGAGCATGCAACAAAATTGCACTTTCATTTTAGTAATATTTGCGGGTAAATTTTTTCTATTTTCAAGTCAATTCTAGAATTGATTTGGATTCATTTTTCTAAATATATCAATAATTTACGTTAAAACCTAAAAAATTTCGTTGGGATTCCATTGTATTGAATAAGAAAAAGCAAACAAAAAGACTGATTTTCAGGAAATAGACAATAAATTTGCAGAAAAGGCAAACATTTTGCTCTCTGAAAATTTTTGGAGTGAAAAAAAAAAGTGAGAAAGGAACTGTGAAAGGTTACTTTTGTACGGAGACATAAAGGTTGGTTTGTGATATAATGGTGTAAGTATTATAGTTAGCGCTTTTGTTCTAAGCCTTAGGATAGAAATAATTTAGATTTGCTAAGAAATGAAAATAAATGATTTCTGAATTTTTCATCAATACCTTAATTAATGGAACGAAATATGGTTGAATTGAAGGACGAATGAAATTAAAATTAGTTTGGTAAATGACAAATAAGCGAATATGGTATGAAATAAGCCGTGTGATACAAATAAGAAAAAAAAAATGGGTGGATATATTTTTTTTTTGTAATTTCGCAAAATTTTAACCCTGCTTTTAAGTTCTCAATTTTTATGAACAATTTTTTTCTTCTTTTAATCTCAAATTCAGACTTTGAGGCTTAATATGTTTCATTCTTTTTTTCCAATTTTGGAAATCAAAATTAAATAGTAAATAAATCTTTTGATTGTTAACATAAACAGTAAAAAATTAGTTTCGGAGGTGAAATTAGTTGAAATTTATCACTGTTTAATAAGTTAATTTAATTTCGGATAATGTCAAATTCCTATGCATATTGATAACAGCAACATGTATAAAACTTCTATCAGAAATTTAAAAAAAAAAAAATTTTATTAATTTAATTTCTACTCACCAACCATTTTCACTTCCCTCTGTTCTCGATTTCAAACACAAATTCTTAGATTAGAAAAGTAGATTTTGTTGGCTGGATTTTCAAATTATAATTAAATTTCAATTCAAATGTAATTTTAAGTTCTAATTTTTTCCTTTTATTCAATTATTTGAAAAATTACTGTCAAAAAAAATTGTTTTTGATTTTTCTCATACATTAATTTAAACTTTGTTACTTTTCCAATTTCTTATTATCACTAAATATTAAACAATTGATTGAATGTCGTCTGGAAGAGAAGCATTTTATTTGAAGTCAACCAAATTCAAAAAAAAAACGAATAAAATTTGATATGAAATCTTTTGATTAAACAAAGCTTTTGAAGAGAAGAAAAAAGTAATATTGCATTCCATATATGATTTGATGGACCTGATAATATGATATTACAGATTAGTCTTATTGATAATTATCTTCTTTGGTGCGAAAAAAAAAACAACAGCAATAATATACGAAATTGAATAAGCATGATGTAAAACATCCAATAATTAATTAACAATTTCTTCTAAAAAAAAAAACCAAAAATGATCATTTCAAATTAGTGAAAGTTTTTAGTTCAGTAAATTGATGGGAATTAGTGGAAACAGCTTATCAACTTTTGAAATTTGACATTCAAGATAATTTTAGAATTTTTGCAATGTAAAAAAAATGTGACAATCGATGAAATTCTATTAATTCATAATCTGCTTAGCTTTTCCATGATAATATTTATCAAGTCAGATTTTATTATAATATAAACAGGTTAAATAAAATAAATGACAAAATTTAAAGAATAATGAAAAAAATCAAACTTTGTAATAGGAGTAATTAGAGATTGATTAGCTAAAACTCAATTATAATTATCAGAGTATCTATCGATCAATCTTTCTTGATCATAAAGAAGTGGTAGGAGTAAGCGAAGCTATGTAAAATGGCTATGAGTAGAAAATTGAAAGCTTTGATTCATTTTTTTTTTCTTGAAATTACAACATCAATAGAGTAATTCGTAAAATTTGTGCAATTTTCACGTGATTTAAAATTAACCTTCGAATTTTAGCTTTTTTATTTCCCATTTTTTACAGCTATTTAATTTAAACAAATACTGATGGAAGCGGTATGACTTTGTTTCAGTGGAAATAAAACATGAAATTAATGTCCAATTCAATACATGTTCACATCTGTTAAAATAATTAAAGTTTATTGATGGATAAATGATTCAGTCATGTTTTATGTATGATTGATAGCATCAGTTGATCGACATTGATGATAATGATAGAGTTAGAAATATGATGAGGATGCTATCCAATTTATTTTTCACATTAATTGATATGGCTCTTTGAATTGATGATAAATCATTTTATAAAGTTCAATTTCAGGTTAACATTTTTTCTTTGCATATGCTTTAAATAAACTTTTTTTGATCTTAAAAAGATTCCTATTCGATCAATTGACTATTTCATTAATCAGTTCAATCAATCACTCTGTTATCTTGTTTATAATGAACAATTTCAAATAGGCATACTTCTTACATCCTTCTGATTACTTTTATTTCAACTCTGAGAAGATCAGAAAAGGGAAGTGTATGTACAAACTGATTGCATTATGTCATATAAAATTGTTTGTTGCTATTTAAATCTGTCAGATTTTTTCAAAAGTGTAATTACCTTATTTCCAAAATGTTGAAATATAAGAAATTAGAGGAAGAAAATTAGACGAGAAAAAAAAGGCGAAAGAGAGAGAGAGAGAGAGAGAGAAAAAAAAATGGGTGAAAATATATCGCTAAAATATGAAAAAAATATGATTTTTTTAATGAAAAATGCAAGCAGATGCTTTCGTTGTTTCGTTGCATGAAATAAAAATTCTATTACTTGAAAAAAAGAAAGTAGAAAAACTAAGCCAAACATATTTTTAAATAATTCTTAACTATTAAATCAGAATGGAAAAGATATGTATATATAAGCGAGAGAAGAGAGAGAAGAAGAGAAGAAAGAGGGAAAGAGAAAGAGAAAGAGAAAGAGAAAGAGAAAGGGGCAGACAAACATATTAAGTATGAACAAACATAGCGATATGTATAACGATGTATTGTTTGCATTTCTTGAAATTGAAGTTTTTTTTTTTTTTTTNTTTAATCAACAATCTACTTCACACTTCGTCCAAACGAACTCCTCTTTTTCTTTCTCATTTAAATTTAGGCTTTAAATGATTTCTATTTTTCTAGTCCTTTCATTATTTCTCTTATCTTTTGGGAAACAAATATTGAAAGAAGAAAGAAACGATGAGCAAATTTATTTAAAGTTACAAAATTTGTCAATTTCCATTTGAAAAATGAAATTAGAAAAAATTTTTTTTTCTTATTTGCTTGAAATGTTTAAACATACAGCTAAGGAACATTTTTTCTCAAAGCTATGTTAATGCAACTTCTGATTCTTCTACACTTCCATTCTCAACTAAAAATAAATTAAGCCTTTGAGGATTTAGTTTCAAGACAAAAATTTTTTTTTTTCTTCGATACTTTTGAGCTATTAAAAAATGTCTGTATTTGGAAATTTAGCAAATTACGGAAAATATCTGCAATTTTCACTATCAACAAATTTTCGAAATGTGAAATTGGTTGGATTTTCAGCTAGCAGAAATATCGACTGTATAATGACAAATGATTATATTTTAAAAACAACAAATTTCACTTCATGTCTTTTTAGCACTCTGTAATGGATTTGAAAGAGTATTAAAATGATTTTTTTTTTTTTTTGTTTTGTGAAATCAGACTTGGCGATGTCAAAAAGATCAAAAAGATTAGAAAAAGTAAAAATTTATGAATGAAAAAAAAAATGATTTGTGCGTGAACAAAAGATCAAATTGAAACTAATTCAATGCAAACTTATTATGTTTAAAAAAAGATTTCGAGGTGCCATTAATAGCTATTTGATTTAAACATAGAATTTCGCAAACTATCACTATGATGAGTGCATTAGACGATAAGCTACTATAAAAGTAACATAGATTGCAAAATTGATAGAAGTAAGAAAAAAAAACAAGATCAGATTAGAAATTTACTCCAATATTACAATCATAATAACGATGATGAATAATTTGAAGATGAAGAAATAAAATAATCGTTA